TTATTTAAATTATAATTTTATTTACATATTTTTATCTTTCTTTATATATATATATATATATATGTAAAATATAAAATATTTACTTTTTTAATAGTACATTAACAAGAGACCTTCAACTCCTCTTTGGCTCCCCCCTTCATTCTAAAAATATGAGAAATCTATTTTAAAATAATGTGAATCTATGTATGCATATAAGGGCTTGCATTAAATAAAAAGAAAAAAAATATGTATTCAAATCAGCGGCCATGTGTGAAAGCTTTTCTTTCCCGTTCTGCCATCTTAAGTATCCACGCAACTCTTTTACGAATCTTCAAGCCATCTATCTAAATCATTACATATATTACACACCTCATTAATCATTACATACGCAAATATATAAAAATCAAAAAGGAAACGTCGGAACTAAATTGAAAAATTTAGTGTTTCTTCTTTATGAAGATTTAACCAATTTCTTCTCCAGTTAAAGAATTACCAAATGTACATGTAAATTTAATGAATCTTCAAATACATTATTTTAACTAAAAATTATACAAAGCAAAAAATTATTACTATCCTCTATTTAACGCTTCAACCAGAACTTATCGAGGGAAAAGTGTTTTGAAGTTGATTAACGGGTTCCGAATACATGTTTCGTTCCTTTGAATCATTTGAGACTCCACTTATTAGTATCAAACCTTCACTTTAAAACAACATTTTAATAGTTCTCAAATATTCAGATTTTTTCCCTACATGTACTCGTACCCAAATGAGATCAAAAATAATGTATAAACACTAAAAAACCTAAAAATATATACCCAAATAATGCGTAAACCAGGACTCGCATTTAAAAGGGAATCTGATTGATGTAAGCTCGAAGATATGAAATATTTTAAATATAAGCATAAGATTTGTGCAATGAAAGCTGAAAACAAATCAAAGAGCCGGAAAAGGGTGAGCTAAGTAAGGCATTTACCTCAGGTAGGCAAATTGGGTACGAAACTTTAGAAACTCGTTCGTAAGCATCTTCTCAGTCAGTATGGCTTATCTCGATTTACGTTTGACACAACTTAATGTCAACGTAATAAGCAACAAAATTATTTAAATATGGATTAACAGAAAGTCTTTATGACCCTTTATGACCTTAATACGCATTTTTCCTTGCATGTTTTCCATAAATTTCCCAAAAAAGAGTTAAGAGATTTCTTTTATTTTAAGTAATTCAGATGAATTAAGAGAATCATTGATGATTATAATTTATTTTTAGAAGCTCTGCAGTTTCATTGTTGTGCATATACTGTTTTCAAATTTGACACTGGGTAATGGAACTACATTAGACCGAGCTTATCCAGGAAATGCCTAGTCCCTGGCTAGAGTGTTTTTGCATTGTCTGCCGTTATTCTGAATTGTAATTTTAACTGCAGTTTCCACGGTAAGAAATCTCATTTGAGTTTAAATTAGTTCTTTTCCTGTATTCCGTCAATCTTTCGAAATTCCACGAACTAAACTTGGAAGGCGAGGCGGCTGTTTCATCAGACCTAATGCGCAAACATCCATTTGAAAGCCATCAACAGATTAAACAACGACGTCTGGAAATGAAATATACCATATTGCCTGTTTCTTGCTTCACATTTGGTATAAAGCTCTCTTGTTCTATTTTTCATTTTGCCGTTAAAGAAGATGCAAATGTCGAGTTTGTGTCCTGTTTTATTTAACATTAAAATTCCCTCAGAAGTGTACAGCTGGTTTCGTTTACTGTTATTCACGGAAACCTACAATTACCGCTAGACGATTAAGTGAATAGATGCCTTAGTTTAATTTTCTGTCAAGACTAAATTGTACAGAGAAAAAGATTTGGCATGAATTATCTTTTCTTGAATTGTTTCATATCAAATAAATAAATGTTTAATAATTTGAATTTTGTTGTGAAGGAAGTAACACAGACCATTCTGGCTAGTTTAACATAACTGATATTGTTATAGATCGCAAAATACTGATTTTTTCAATATATTCCTCTCTCCCCCCCAAAAAAATTCCTAATGTCATAAGTATGTGTAATAATAAACATTGTTTTGAAACGCTAATTGCAGTAAAAATTTTAAAAAGAGTTTTTTTAACATTTTATCAAAATAGAAATTTTAAAATAAGTTATCAGAAAGAGTTCAGTAATAACCGGTAATAATTAAGATTCTTATGAAATAATCGTAGTCAAAGATTTATTTATTCCACGAGTGACCGAGTGGATAAGTCCACTGAACGATGTGATTCATATCCCGGTGAGTGTGTGCGTGGGGGTGGGTGAATGGACATTTTCATAATTTTTTTCTGTTTGACGTGTTTAGAAACCAGTTTTTCCTTAGAGCTTCCTCCACGAAGACATCTCTTCCATTAGGCAATAACAATTGTCATACTGAATGAAACAAGCAAACATAATAGAAAAATTATATTTTTTTTACAGAAAATGAAAGAAAATATTCTTAAGGTATATGAAAATTTAGCTTTACGATGAATGTATTAACAGGATTTGAAGAGAACTGAAGAAGAAAGGTTGATGATAAATTAGACTGTGAACAAACAGTCAAGTGATAAAACAGCTAATTTTTCAAAAAAATATTTTTCATAGTAGAAGTAAAAGAAATGATAATCACTTTAATTTTACAACTTAGACGTAAAAAATTAAAGGTGATATTTTCCAGTTTTTAAATTTGAACTATTTAAAATTTAATGACTTTGGATTTAGATATTTTAAAAGAAGCAGATTATGATATAGCATTTAATTATGTATATGATGTAACTGCGGCAAAACCTTTATCAGAAATATGTGGTTTTTAAAAATAAAATTGCTGCAATAATTCTGGTCACTTAAGTGTTATTAAATTAGGCTTTTTAAGTGGGATTCAGAAATACAGATTAGTTCAAAAGTTTGCGAATTCGAAAAATGTCTTAATAATGTTTTCAAACTTGCCAGACTTTATTAGGCTGAAATAAGCTTCAGCAAACGTAAATAATAAAAAAACGTACAAAATCTAATTAATAATAAATTTTAGTAAAAAGGTATATGCACTAGCTTGAAATATATCACAAATTTTACTGCTTACGTTAACAAAATAATTGGCTGGATTATTATAGAACTGACATAAGAGCTTATAGAAATTATTAGACATTTTGGAGACTGAAATGTGAAAAATCAACTGTGCCCTCGGTGAGATTTGAGCCACAGACCTTCCACTTGCTTGCTGGGCCTGTTTGTACGACGAGAGTACTTTTAGGAGCATGTGATAAATCCTTAAATTCCCTTCCAGTTTAAAGGCGTCTGGGGAGAAGAAAACATTAGAAGAAGGGAAGGTTTGGATTTAAAATTTTACCAGCGAATACAGGGTTTTTTTTATTTTCTCTTTAAATGTTGCTATTTATGAAAGGACGATTTACTCTGAATTCTTGCAGCTTATTCTATAATACAGTCTCCAGAACGCAGTTCTAAATATTGTAATGCTATTGCGAATTTTCCTCACAGTTGTTGTAAGTGTTACTTGCTGTGAGAGATACCTATGCATTCATATAGGAATATTAAGTATCACCAGGCCTTGCTAACTCCAAGCTTCTTCTCGTATGGAATTCCGAGGGATAACACTCTGGAGGCGGTCTAATGGTCTCTCACCCCTTTTCATCTGCCGTCAACCTCTTGAGAAGATTTCCATACTTATTATTTATTATTATGAATGTCCCTTGCCCTACAGACACTATACGCTTAAAACGTCCATATCTTCTCCGGGATACGAACCCGGGGCTTTTGGTATAGCAGTCAGCGTCACTTATCACTCTCCCAGCGGCAAATTAAATTGCTAACCAACTATCGTTGTCAGCTTCTGGTGCAGAGATGTATGAAACTTCAACAAACGTAGAGTAATAAATAGTTATATAAACCCTTCACCTGGCCTGCCGAACTTGGATATTTACTCCATGAAACGTGATTAAGTAATTAAAAAATGCTCGAAAATAGTTATATTTAAAAATTTATAGTTTTGTTTTGACAACTGAAAAATTAAATAATAAAACACTGTCTTGAAATAAACGCAGTAGCTCTGTACATTAATTGAATTGTGATTTATAGTTTCAAAATTATTTAGTTTAACTGAATTAAAATTTTTTTTTTTTTCTTTGAAACAAAAGACACCTTGTGTACTATTTTTTTGGATGGAAAGAACTGTGATTAAAATTGGTATAAAAGATTATCTAAAGCATTTATTGAATGCAGTTATATTTTATATTACGGTTTTTACAATTTTATTACGGTTATTTAAAGCATTTATTAATTACAGAAATGCACAGGTGTAATTGGTTTACGCTTTATAAGAAGAGTGATTTTATACTTTTACCTCATTTGAAAAATTACCTAGGTACGGCTCTTTATGGCATGTGTTATTTCGCTTTTCTGTATTACTTTTTAACTATGTTCAGATTAATTATGGTTTTGAGTTAACTGCGAACATCGTCGAGGTAATATTCAGATAAATTGGGAAGTAGCTCTATTTATTGCATAAAATTACATTATATAGATTGTATTAAATTGTATTTATTATATAAAATGCATTTGTTCTATTTTTGTTATTTAACATTTTGCCTAGCTATTTTCCTCAATGGTAACTCTTAAAGAAAAATCGTTTAAACAATTTATCTTTTAAAATATTAGGAAATAACGCATTAACTCAGCAAAACCGAAATAAAATTGTTTGTGAATAATGTCAGAGTAATGCCAATTATAGCAGAGTTATGCAATCAATGTTCATGATGATGGCATTGGAATTATCAAGAATAAATTCTATAGTTCGAGATAATAAAATCTACTATCAAAATTGTTTTCAAGAGAAACTAAAGTCCTCTAGGGATAAAAAAAAAAAAAAGTCATTTTTATTTAGCTCAAATAACTTTCACTTTTATTTTGGTTTCTCTGTATTTAATTATCTTTAGGTTTCGTACAACATTTTTCTTTCGATTCAATATTTATTTTGCAATTTCTTCAACAGATGGCGCTATGTTACTCAATCATCGGGCTTTCGAAGTATAATGGGTCTTGTGTTCTTCGAGTGTTCTGACTTCGTTACACACCTTGCTTTTCAATGTGGAATACATGCTCAACAACATCTGTCTGAAGTACGCCTAATCGGCCCTGTTATTGTACCTGTGAACAGGTGAGTCTTTACTGTAGAGTTTAAAGTATATATCTGCAATTTCGCGGAGTTTTACACAGTTTAATTCCACAATATTCTTCATTGATTCAGTGAGTACTGTTTCGAAAGTTGATTCTTTTGTTTTTAACTTGGGTTTGAACATTTGAAGTTGCTTAATTTACTGTTACTTATTCTAAAGAGGGTGAATCGCTGTTTTAATTGAATTTGCAGAGGATGCAAGTTATTTCCTTTTGAAGAGGATATATTACCAGAAAATTTTTAATTTATTATTCTACAAAACTACAAATTTTAAGAATTTTTAATCGGTTTGCAATTATCAGTTATTAATGGTATATTAATAAAATTTTTGTGGTAGTTTGAAAGTTTGAAAAAAGAAAATTGTAAAGTTTTCATGTATATAATTTTTTTTTCTAATTCTGTGCTTTAATTTTAAGTTACGCGTGTTTATAAATTAATGCATATCCAGAAAGATTTTTTATTAATATAGCACGAATGCTAGAAGTATTTTTTAAATTTAAATTGAACTGATGTGGATAAATTATTCATATAAACTGATATTAGAAATTACAACTGCTTAACTGTTGATCCGTAAGTGCGTAATTTATTCATAAAAGAGTATTAAATTAATTATTTATAATATTTTATTCTCTGTGTTATGTAATTGGATTATTTGAGTAATGTCTGACTGGAAGTTACATTTAAAATAATCTCTTTCGACGAAAGTTTCAATACATTATCATTTATTATAACTTGACGTCCTGGACGGACTTCTTCTTTCTTGATGGAAAAAGTTTACTTATTAAAAATAATTACAGTTAAAATATGAAAATAATTATTTGATAATTACACACCTGCATTCCAGAGTTTAGCTTTATGGATGTGCTGCACAAATCCATTTGCGAAATTGATTCAGATGTCGGGATGAATACGGGTGAGCGATGGAAATCGGAATTACGTGTGTGATTATTAGTTAAAGTCGTACAAAAGTATAAAGTATATTAATTGTTCAAATAATCGAGTAGAGCCATTACAGAAGACATTTGGATTGAAACCGTAGAGAAAAACGATTTTCGTTTTGTAAGGTATTAATTAATATACAAATAATTAGATAGTTAGATGTCAGATATTAATTAGTGTACAAATAATATAGATATCTGTTAGATATTGCTTTAAAAAAATGAAAATCTTACAGTCGCGAAACTACTTCTGAATTTGCGAAGACTCTGGATATTTATCTCTGTGGGAATCGAGATGAAAGTACGTTAATTTCTAAACAGAGTGTTAAAATCTTCGAAGTCTTTGATGGGGTAATTCTAAAAATTAGTGATTTATTAGTCCAAAGGAGCCGTTTGCCCAGAAGGACTATTAATTTCGTTTTGGCATTTTGCGTCGATCCACGATAAGCGTTATTTTGCTTCTCAAATTGTTGCCACCAAATATTGTCGCTCTGTATTATATTTAAAGAAATTAAATAATAAAGAATCTGCATTAATGTATGTATGTGTTATCGCATTGTGATAAAACAACAGTACCTAGAGCCATCAAAATTTGAATAACGTAATCTTCCATAGAATATGGGCATGTGAAAGTCCTAATTTGAATTTCAAATTTGTTTTATTATCGATTTCATATTTTGTAACACTTCAACGAATTTTTTATTAACAAACTAAACGATTTCGAAGCGAGCAATTGCAACATTGAACGGGAGGAGGATATATTAACTCCAGCGCGTGAGACTGAATCGGGAATTCTGAACTGAATTTTATGGTTTAAGTGCGAAGAACATGATATTTAATAAATAAAGGTAACACACAAAATGTTAAAAAAACGCACCTTTGGACGTAATTTAAAATCTGAAACATTTCAGATTTTTTTCCCCTTTGCTGACGAGGGATCGCCCGTAAAAATTACCATCTGTGTAGGTTTGCCACTTCTTGACTTCCAAACCAGGATACCTATCTTGAATATGACTGACAAATCTGACTGTTGCCAGCAAATATATTAGGAAGAAAATTAATCGCGCTTTATCCCCAAAATTAATTTTAATAAGAAAAAGTAAGCAAAATTCGCAATATTTTGTAATGTTAATAAAGGTAATGAAATAAATATTCTGCTTGAAACTTATATTTTTTCTTCACGTAACACAAGATATCCTAGGAATATTATTTTTATTTCAAATCATCCCATGACATTCTCAGAACATTCGCGAGTGATTTGGAATATTCCACTCATATTCCTAGATTGTTTTATGATTTAATAAAAACTGGAATATGCTTGTAATCTGCTGGAAAAAATAGACATTATGGGAATATTCATCTGCATTGTAAAAGATATTTCATACGTTTTCAGATAGAGTATTAGGTCTTGAATTGGTTTTTTGCATACAAATCCAAGGAAAATCTTCCGTATCTTCTTAGAAAGCATATTAAGTCTTGAAAAAGAGTGGATAAGAGTACTTCCGTATTGTCCTGTCGACCACGAAACTATCGCCAAACAGCGCAGTTCATCATCAGTTATGAATAAGCAAGACGGAGCAACATACTCATAACATCTGCGCTTTTGTTTGGTGTAACCCCGATTGATTCTCGATAAGCCATCTTTTGTTTTTATAAAGAAGGATATAAGTTAATTGTTATTTATTTATCTTTTTTCCCTTCCATTTAAAAAAAAAGTTAATAAAAGTCTTTTTGCAGAATAACAAGCAGTGGATTAATTTCAAAGTTATGGAATCCTACCATAAAAAAAAAAAAAGCATGGATTAAGGGACACTATATGGTGGACAAAATAGTCGACCATATTCAGTGATGAAATAATTAATTACATGCGGGAAATCTGTACTCACAGCGAACAGAACTTTAGGTAAAATGGGGGGGGAGGCTAATAAAATAGTAGAAATCGACGGAAGCCTTTTCACGAAATTCAAAAACGAAAGGAGTTGAATACTGATTGTTTATTAAATAAATATATTCCGTCTCTTCAGAATTCAGGAGAAACGATTGGCACAACTTACGAGCTCCGGAAACTTTCATGGTTCGATGGTAGCCAACATTCACGGTCGAAGATATGATACAAGTATCGTGGGTTGTAATGGCTGTAATTTTATACGAACCCGAAGAAAATTTTTAGGTATGAACAAGGTAGCAGATTTGCTTTATAATTTAAATTTCTAGGACATGTAAAAAATACCGTTTCGATATTTCGTAGAAAATTTCTTTTCGATATTTCTGAGAATATTCCTCGTATATGAAAACAGGTGGAAATTGGGGTATTCCATGGGCATTCTATGCATATAATTGAAAAATTCCGGAATATATCAGTAATATTCTTGTGCTGTGTAGTGAATCATCACATCTAAACTTCGAATGACTTACTTAAAATCGATGCATACTTTGGACTTTGCTGTATCTATAGTCTTTCATTTTCAAATCTTTCAGGTTTCTTCTCCGCCTCTTTCCATTGTCGGAGATCTTACCTTGAAATCTGGGCTTCCTCCTGCATGATATATATGTCTTGATTTTAGAGCTTTGCAGAGAATTTCCCGCTGAGTTATGTAATCATAAAGCTTCGGAGCAATACATATGGTAATTAAACTCATATCGCAACTGCCTTAACTCTTGAGAAAATGTAATCAATGCATTTTGCATTGTGTTTCCAGATCACTGAAGATGAATTCCCATAGTTTTACTAGTTCTGAATACCGATTCGCGCACATACACTAAAAAAAAAAAAAAGTCTACTTTTCCGACACAGTTTTATATTCCTCTTAAATTCGTCTATTGTAGAACACCTTTGTCTCACTCCGGTTTTGAATTATCTTAAAGTAACGAACGCAGCCAGACCATCAGCCGTGCTGAAGAAAATCAGCATTATACTGAAAAACTGGAGAGAGTAAACTCCAGCAAAGCAAAATTTTGAAAGAAAACAGTTTTTCCTGCTAAAAATCAGGAACAAAGGATCCATTTCAACTATTTGTTTCTATTCCTCACAGTTTTTCTTTTTTCTTTTAACAACTGAAAAAGGAGACAAATTGATGTCCTGAAAATATTATTTCAATACAAGGAATTCTTTTCTCAAATAACAGGACTGTCTCTGGAAACCTTATTTATAGGGGACCACTGTAGTACAAAATTGCTCACTTAACTCATCTGTTTTCGAGAAACAGCAATTTCTCCGATTCATCGTTCTGGTGTGATACCGTCAATGAATAAAATAAGATAGATGTTTAATTACAGATGTGTTGACTGTGAGATATAAGCCGCATCAAGAGTCTCATTTTAATTTCCCCATAAGGTGGCTATTTATTCAAACACAGTCTTTCTTTGTGAAGAACATCTTGTAGGAATAGGATAGCCGCTTCTTCAACTCCCAGGTCGTAGAAACAAAACCAAATTAGCGACACTCATACTTATGGGGGGGGATAGTTGTCTGGCGTATGGCTTTACTGGAAAGTATAATTATTTGTTTTCAAGCATATGAGTACAGTGGATGCAAGCCTAAATTGAAATCGTTCACGTATAAATAGCTCACATTAAAAATAGACGTATAATTAGCAGCGGTTACTAATGTTATTTAGTTTTTAAACAATGTAATCATTCTATGCAGTAGAATAATCAGTATGATTTGTTTAGTATTTAAACAGTGTAATTGTTCCACGTAATATGGTAATTGAACTCCTTCCTCATTTTGCAACTTCCGTCACCGAAATACCCATTCATAAGTCTCTCCTAAATTTTAGAACAAAAATATAGGGTAGGTGGAAAAAGTGGTCTTACAACTTAACTTAGTTGGATTAAAAAGAATTACTTAATTATTTACATTGTTTGCGTTAACATAAAAGTACGAAGTATCTTCTAACGGAAGAAAGGATAATAAACTACGATTCCGAAAATATTGTAAGCAAAATGATATCCACGTACGGTTTTATTTTTTAAAATTTGTTCTGAAATGTAAGAAGGGTCTTACACTCATGGGGGTGGATTCTAATTTTCGAGTGCATCAGG